GCGAAGATACAAGCGGCGAAGTCGATAACCAGGGGAGAATGTAACGACGTCACTCCAGTGGCGTCATAGGGTTATCGACCAATCAGAACAGACGTCACTGTTGACGTCAGTTTACGACCAAGCTCGATTGGCGTGCGGCGTGCTCGGCCATGGACACCAGAAGTTCCTTCTGCAGAGCGCACGTATATATAGCATTAGATATAGTATAGTCACAGTAGTCATGCATGTAGATGTAGATAACGCCAATCAATCAGTTTTACAATTTCCTCTGCGTTATCAACTCCCTACATCTAGCCTGTCGTTGGCAGGGGCAGCTGTGGTGCTTAGCTAAGGGGTTTGGCTCAGACTTGGGTTATGTACCTCGCCTTTATATCAAGTGGAACACGAACGTTAAAGTCATCTCTCCAGTGGCCTGCGTTGTCGAGGATCCCCAGCAAGTTCATCATAACAACATGGTTCAAATCCTTCAACTGCTTGAGTTGCTGTCAGTATTCCATGATGTATTAGCATTTGTTTTGCGGATTTACAGTTAATTCACAGTCAGACCTTATCGTTTGCTTCAACGTTGGGCGACCCCACATGACCGCAACACAATATGAACCCAGTTGGCATGACATGCTTCGTACACGGGAATGCATTCAATTTGACGAGTCGTAATCTAGGTTGTTTGGGATGAGTCTGATGACGTGGCATGTCGTACTGGTGTAAGCGAATCTCAAAGGGCAAGTTGGTGGGTATGACGTGAACCCGAACAATGGGGGGGGGCTGGGGGGTACAATACAGTACGATCGTGTCCACATAAAGGACGAGCAAATTGTCACAGTATTAGTACTCGAGGTTATTCACGATCGTGTGCAAGATCGAACCAGCCAGTGGTGTTACAGACACCAGTCTTCTCAACAAGTCCGAGGCGACGTTGAATGCAAAACGTTACCGTGTCATTCCCTAGCACATACTATTAGTATAGTAGTTACCAGTAGTAACGTTAGCTCAACGTTGCGCGAGCCCATCAGAGATGTCACCTAGTTACCAAGGTATTCCATGAACAAAAATGCATCCGCGAAAACAAACACGTGATCACGCACTGGTGAATTTGTAGCGCCAACAACACCTGGATCTCAAATTACTGCTTAACGTTAGTAGTATTTCTAGTTGAGCAGCTTAATGTTACATTGTTAGTACTGGTGTAAGCTTTGTATTAACGTTAAGTCTAGTTTAGATAAAATTGGAAACACAAGGAAGCTGCATTAGGAAGCCTAATTCCTCCACTAAGAATTGGACTGGCTCAGGCGATCTGGGCAATATCCTTGGAAACTAATCCTACTTCACGTTAGCAATACTACGGGGAGGGGGGAGTCGACCCCCCAACTCATCGGCCCTTGTTTCCATGTGAGCTAACAGTTACTACACTCACAGGACACTCGCTGAGTAACTACAGGACCCCCCCCAAGGCATACATCTGCAGTGCTAACGTTATGTGCCATTAACTTTACTGGTAATAAGGCACGAAGTTAGGCAGCAATTCCCTCGCTGCAACAGTAGTACTCCGTAATCATTTGGGCGTCCTGACATACAACACCCAAGTTATTTCTGGCACATAGTCAAATCAAGTGTAAGTTAAAAACAACTCATTTCCATTTCAGCTAAGGGTAAAGTGCATCTCAGTGGTTAGCTAACCACTGGTGATGCAGCTTAACCCCGGGAATAGCATTGTATGCAAGCGCAAGGGGTCCAGGGGTTCCAGGGGCTGTTGGTAAAAATGATTACGGAACAATAGTACTACTGTTGCAGCGAGGGAATTGTTCCGAAGTTAGGACATGTTATTAATATGACCAAGGAATGTACTGGAAGACTGGAAGGGCCACTTGTTAGCAGCTGGAACTTTCGCTAGACATCAATCACAGTGGTATCAATAGATTTAGATCCCAGGAGCAGCAACATTCCAATCGCCCAGAGTGGTAACGTTTGTCATGGAATCGTCGTTCGAATCTTGGCTTTTGTATGGCGGTGGACACGCCAGCTATGTACTTACTGTACCGGTATGTACCGTGTGGTTTGTTTGCGTGCGATTCGTGCATTAGCAATTCCCTCGATTAATTGAGTTTGGATTATCATTTTTAAGACATTACAGTACTTGGACACCCGTAAACCCTGCAGCACTGCCGTGAAATGACCCGCCCATGCACTCCATCGCGCTACGTGAGGGTTTTAAACCCATGTGCGAGATATCAGTTTTGGATCCGTCTTCCTTCGATTACAATCGTGGCTGACTAGCAACAAGTGATACTCTTGTTGCTATGGAATGACTCCTCGTGTGTCCAACCCCATTTTATGCGAATGGATGATGGATGATCATCGGCAAACACTGAAAAACGTTCAAGAAATCTGAATACTTACCATCATCCAAAGGGCAACAGTAACTCACTCCAAGTGTCGAATCGTTCGGAACAATTGGCAGTTTGCACATTGAAATGCACTGTCCAACGAGCTACATAGCAACTACTACTACGTAAATACTTCCCGCCCAGATTCAAGCGATCTTGATGGAACTATACCAGGTAGTACTCGTTCCTTGGTACTATTCCTGTCCAAAATTTTGACGGTGAATGAATACCTCAACCATACCACTGTTGTGTTGTCAGGCTCCAGCTCTCGTTGATTTGATCACTCACCCAATTTCCATTCCGATCATATTATTGCACCTGTGCATGCTTTTGAGCACACTTTCCATTGCACTCTCTGCATTTTACAGTACAGGAACTTAATGTTACGGAGTACATCCAACAGGTGCAACACCCTCACCGGATTCGTCACCACTGATGTTGGTATAAATCCTGTGCGACATACGCTCGGCGGCACTCGGCCTTTTATTATTGTCGAGGGTTGTTCATTAACCAATTTCGTCGCTCGAAGCACAACCCCACGTCACATAACCATGAGTTCGACTACTTTGCCTTCCAAGTGCTGCTTCAACGGGTGCTCGAGTCCGGTGCTCTCGCACGGCAAGTGCAAATTGCACCGATACAGACACCACTGCAGCGTCCAACATTGCATGAACCAAGCATACGCCCGGCGGCTGTGTGTGGCCCACGGTGGCCGCCGCGAGTGTCTCTCGCCAGGCTGCTTGGGCAACGCCCGAAGCCGCGGGTATTGCTGCAAACACAGTGACGACCACCACTCCAAGGTCATCACGACGGGCGAGCTGTCCCCTTTGCTGGCGCGTGATCGTTGCAGCAGCAGTAGCTTCCCAATGGAACGACGGGGTGCCCCATCGTCCCCAGCAGTAGCCGTGCCACCCAACGATGATAACGTCAAAGCCGATGGTGACGACGCCACTACGTGCTTGAAGTTGATTGAGGTCGAAGCGATGAAGTTTGTGCAGTGCTGGGACGACTTTGAGATCGACGTCATCGACGGGTTCCTCTCCGATTTGCCCATGTCGAGCATGATGTGGTCGATGCAGTAGTAGGAGCAGTTGGACTACTTGATTATTGCGTTTATTAACTTATTGCACGATACAACACACACTTTGGTTGAAGCGTTTCTCTGGTGGTGGTTCAAATGGTATCGTGGATTCTATCCTCCAAGTGCGGTGGGCACGTTATATAGATGACGTGCACTCTTCCACCATTTCGCCAAGCGACACCTGGGGGAGCCTTCTAATCAATCACGAACGGTGAGGGATACTGGTATACTTTGACGTATATGTTGCGAACGTACAGCACACAGATGGTTGGATTTGTAAAACATAAGCCAATTGAATCTTAGGCGACAAAATTACATTCATTTCACGGTGGCGTTCGACGGTACAGTAAGTTACTGTAACTTATTGACAAGCCCAAAGGTACATCCATGGCCATGGTGGCCGCGGTTGCATTGTTATTGTCCAGCTAAGTAACTTACTACTACGTACTTCGTATAAATACTGTAACGTTAGGATGATCAATTTTAACGTAGGTTATCACGTAACTTTATGTTGACAACCAAAGTTGACTGTGAGTTTACGTTACTCTGGAGAGTAGTACTATGATTGCATTGCCCAATGGGTTTGTCCAATCAATTTGCAACTTGCTCTACGTTTCAGCCAATCAGATATGCTTGAAGTCGTCATTTGAGATTGGCATCGGAAACCCCGAAAAAGAGTTTGGTCCTGTGAGTGACCTCCAATAACGTTATGGTGTACTTAGTAGTTGTTTGGCTTTACAGTTATGGCGCAGCTCTAAATCACCTCGTGACATGAACACATCGATCGGTCGTACATTGTATGGACGACGTTTGTATTTCACCAGGGAGGGTGGTTCACAGAGTCGTCATCATAGGAACACGGACGACCCACCTCCATCGTCCACCAGTCGCTTTCGTTTCTGCAGACTTTCGTAGAGCCGGCGCACCGACATGTCCTGCGGCGTCGGGCCCTTGTCATCGCCGTGGGTCTGCAGCGTATAGTCGTCGAACGCGAGTTCGAACGCCGTCTCGAGCTCTTCATCCGACAACGCCATCAAATCATCCTGCGATGTCACAACTCCCTGCTCGATCGCGACTTCGACCAGCATGTTCATGGCCTTCCGGGCGCGGTACAGGTCCTGTCGGTTGTCCACATCGCTCTCCTTGAGGTACCGGAAGGGCCCGATGCCGGCGGCGGCGTCACCGCGGAACCACATTTGCCACATCGCGCTGCAATTGGTCGCGGGGAGGCGGTACCCCTCGGGGGTCAAGTGCAACGTGCCATCTGCCCACGTGAACGTGAGCTCGTGCAGGTTGGTACGGCGGCCCTTTTGCAGGGCATCGTACACGGTCATGTACGAGCAAGTGGACCACTTGTCGACGTCTAGTGGCTTGGAGAGGAGCGTCGGATGCTGCGACATGGTTTCAAAGCACTGGTGGTACACGGAGCGCAGGTCAGAATGATCGGCGAGGGCGTCTTCGTTCGCCGCGACACCCTTGGAGATGGCCAGGTCGATCAGCACCTTGATCACGCGGCGGGCGACATACATGGAGCGCTTCGAGTTGGGGTCGGTTAAGTCGGCTCCGAGCAGATGCCGAAATGGACACAGCTGGCTCGATAGATCGCCGTGGAACCACAGCTCCCACATGGCCAAACACGTGGATTGAGGGAACTTCCAGTCTTCTGGGACAGGGTGTTGATCGCCACAGGTCCATTCGAATTGGGCAAAGGCGCCACGCGGCAGGACGCGGCGGGCGATCGACGCGGCGGCGGCGGAGGACTTGGGGCGCGAGGCGGCGTGGCCACCGTCGACGTTAGCGGGCTCGGGCGACGACACGACCCCAGACGATGTCGCAGACGTGATCGCGGCTCCTTTACCCCGACCACCCCCTCGTCCGCTGACGGACCGACCTGGTTTCGTCGTTGAGACGCCGCGCGAAGCCACCTTGTTCGTTGTGTTTCTCGAATTTACAACCTGATTGATGCTGTTGGTCGGTGGGTTGCTGTTGTTTGCGTGGAAGTTGAGGTCGTGGCTTCGACACGTTGCACACTGCTGCGGCTGCTGCTGTTGCTGGTGTAGTTGTTGTAGCTGTTGCTGGTGTTGCTGTAGCTGTTGTTGGACCTGCTGAAGCTGCTGCTGATGATACTGCTGCTGCTGGTGCTGCATCTGCTGCTGTTGCACCCCCGACGACGTCAACTGCGCTTCTATATTCAGGAGGCGTTGGTGCACGCTGTCCATGCCTGCGTTCGTGTCGCGTCGGAGTGCGTCGACCTTGTCCCCCACCGTGATATCGATCGTGCGAGGCAGATTCTCAATCAGGTTTTGGATCCACACCAAGTGATCTTGCAGATGTGCCACGTCGTACACCGAGTGGCCGCCGACGATGTGGTTGGACGCCATCTTGACCTGAGTTTATTATCGACTGACGCAGCAAGTCCGGATAGCACCCTGGTATCCGGATTTCGATCTTAACCATTCCAGTTGTCAAGCGTTGGCACATTATGCTGCATGGGACCAAGGCCATACCCAGTAGCAGGTAATGACTGAGGACGTCATGCCCTCTATTTCAATGGGGGATTGCTAAGGTCGCTCTTGTGTGGAAATTCAAGTGTAAACGATGGCATCTGGAGGATGCATACAATGAATCGTCTTAAGGCGTTTCATGTACCAGTAATTCCAGGCCAGCTGAGCCCACTTTCTGAGTGCCATAACTCGTCATCCATTTATCCGATGAGGCTGCAAAAACATTCATTTTGAAGATCGTGACGAGCTTTATATCGTTATGGTCCCATCATTTGTATCGCACGGTCAATTTGCTGGTCAAATTTCTAAAATTGAAATTTCCCTCTGTGAATTTAATACCCCGCCAGTAAGTCACTTGAATAATGTATACCTGTTTTGGGTGATAAAATCCTCAGAACCTCTTAATAATGATATGTATAAAGTATTCAAGTAATTAAATTTAGAAGTGCAACTAAAATAAAACTGTATTACATGTCGGGCAAGCAGAATATTAAATCTTACAAGTGTGTGATACCAGAGTACGTAATTTTGTCCAATCATCGTCCATGGATGATTGTGATTGGCCATTTGCTGGCCGGGAATTACATATCACCTTACTGGAATGATCTGAAATTGGTGGTGGAAATTATTACCCCGCCTTAAAGTGGGCTCCCCAACGGACCGATACTTGTACTGTATGTCAAATAATTGTAAGCAGTTCGAAGGATTTGGAAATGATATCAAAAGAAAAATGCATCTCAAATTCAAAAACTAATGAATCCGTACACCGTAATTCAAAGTTGGGCCAATCAACAAAGCGAATTCTGGCAGTATAATTTGAAGTAATGCTAAGGTGATTAATGTAATTCCCGGCCAGCAAATGGCCAATCACAATCATCCATGGACGATGATTGGACAAAATTACGTACTCTGGTATCACACACTTGTAAGATTTAATATTCTGCTTGCCCGACATGTAATACAGTTTTATTTTAGTTGCACTTCTAAATTTAATTACTTGAATACTTTATACATATCATTATTAAGAGGTTCTGAGGATTTTATCACCCAAAACAGGTATACATTATTCAAGTGACTTACTGGCGGGGTATTAAATTCACAGAGGGAAATTTCAATTTTAGAAATTCGACGAGCAAATTGACCATGCGATACAAATGATGGGACCTGCATAACGATATAAAGCTCGTCACGATCTTCAAAATGAATGTTTTTGCAGCCTCATCGGATAAATGGGTGACGTGTTATGGCACTCAGAAAGTAGGCCAAGCTGGTGGGGAATTACATGAATCACCTTACAGTATGTAGACAATATCGTTACAATTAATAGATCTTGTTGGTTGGCTAAAACGTTCGTTCCGATGTTTCAAGAAAGTCAGCCAATCGCAAATGATTCTTATAGAATTTCTCCAATTTCCAATTAGCACAAACCGATACATCTAGCCGAGACATCGGATTGGGGGTCTGCGAACATTTACAGTACGTAGAGCATCTGCACCGGTAAGGTGATTCATGTAATTCCCGGCCAGCAAATGGCCAATCACAATCATCCATAGACTATGAGTGGACAAAATTACGTACTCTTGTATCAAATACTTGTAACATTTAATATTCGGACATGTAGTACAGTTTTTACATTAGTTTCACTTCTAAATTTAATTATTTTACTACTTGATAAATAGCATTCTCACTAAGAGGTTCTGAGGATTTCGTCACCCAAATCAGGCATATTCAAGTGACTTCTGGCTGGGAATTAACAAATTCGTAGGAAAATTTGAATTTTAGGGCCCATCTGGATGCCAACCACCAATATTATGGGATATTGGAATATCGAATAAAAAATATTTTTCGACATTGCAGGAAATTCTTGGGTTTCAAGATCCAAAAATGATTTTGGGTGGTGTCTGGATGCCATAGAATAAAAGAAAGTTCGGAAATGAACAGCCAATCAGAGGATAGCGCAGAGCCGCAGTGGACTTCGTCCACCCAGAGAGGACCACTGAGGATAGATGTCCTCTTTGGTGTCTTGTGGACGAAGGCGAGGTAGTGGTACTCCATCTGTCTTGCCAAGAGTTCCTTGGCCAGGCGGCGGCGGATGAGCCATCGACGTAGGAAGGCAATCACGATGGCCTTTCTCATTCCGAAATGCCCTGTCATTCAACGCGCACTGTCAATATCGTCAAAATATTCTACTCATGAGTAGAATAATATTTCTTGTGGTTTTCACGATATTTCTGATAAAATTATAGTATAACTTGGTCAAGAAATGGCATCCAGACACTCCAAATTGAAGTCGATGAGATTGTTGTAGTACAACTACCAAGTTCCATCCCCTACCACAAGCCCCGTGACCTCTACCCCCTCCCCTTCAACGACGGCAGCCACCGCCAAGCCCCCACCACCCGCCCCGACAACGGCAACGCTAACGTCAAAGTCCCAATGTTAGGCGACGTTATGGTACCTACCTGCACATGCTAACAATCTCCCCACTCGACTATGGTACCTACCTGCACATGCTAACAATCTCCCCACTCGACTAGTGTCCAAGTCCGACGTAGTAGTAGTTCTAAAGTGTAATACTTAAGGGACTATTTATAGGCGTACAGTTATGTTCATTGACATATTGCATCTGCACCCGGTGCCAGTAAATTTGACCCCTTTATCCGCGAGGCAGCAACGTGATGGGGCGCCCAGACCAAGGCTCAGAAACGGAAAAGCTGAAGTATTGGAGCATAGACTGGTAGGTCCCAGCGGGAGCGGAGCAATCGGAAGCTCCTTGGCAACTATGTCGGCACAGTCGCCAAGGAGCTTGGAATGGAGGACTTCAGAAACCGGCGCAAATTTTATTTTGCGGCACCAAAATCATCCGGAATTATAATTCAAATGCGCCACAAATTTTGGTTGAGGTCAGAAATGCGCCTCATCAAAATTTGCCATGATCCAATAAACTGTTGATTCAAATTAATTTCACCCAATAGAATTAGGAAAAATTTGCTACTTGCGTGGGTTTTGGTGGCCCTGGTATCGCGTGATGTGACGAAGCAAATTTGACCACAATAATAATAACATCATATCCGGACAAATATAGTTTGTGTCGGCGATTTGTGTAGGTTTTGGAAGTCCTCCATTATTGGAAGACGTCACAGTCAGCAAACGTTATTTTGAGCCGATGCCGGCTCAAAATTATCCGGCGAAAATACGATTAATATTAATGTAATGTCCACAGAAACCGGCGCAAATCTCTACTCTTTATCCATGGGCTCCCGTTGGGCGGTACGAGGACATTGCTGGTGAGGTAGTGTCTTTCCTTTAAAGACATTCGTGCTCTGAACAAGCGGAGGTTGCTAAGAACCTCGTCGTTGGCATCGTCGTCGTCGTCCAGCAAGTGCAACCACACCCATCGCCTTATTGCTACCAAGTTGCTTTATCCGTACTACAACAGTATCCGTACCAAATACTTCCTCTGCTCCATAATACTGTGGTCACAACTCAAACCAGCGACCCCAAAAATTCATTTTTTGGCCAAATTTGATGAATCGTACCAATTCTGAAAGACAATCAAAAATGAAAGACAATTCGTATTGACTGCACCGCGCAAAACCACCAATTTTACCCTGCCAATTGAATTCGTCATCGGAGAAAGGACCAAT